ATGCCGATCCCGTCGTTTCTTTCGCGCATTCCGAGGGATTCCCTGCCTAATTTAAACGTTCATCGGTACCGAGGGATCACCCGGCGAGATGCTGAGGAGGTAAAGGAGCTGCAGTGTATCCTCGCGAGGACGCATGGAAAGAGACAAGAGAGAGAAAGAAAAGAGGCTCCTTCGTTACGGCGACATTCTACGGGCGAGACGCGTGTCCTGCCTTCGTAATCGAGGATCGAAGAGAGCGAGAGATGAAAAACAAGGAGCGCTGCTCCCAAAGGACTTTCGAATACTCCGATCGGCGACGGAAACGCGATTTTTGCGACGCCGTTAGGGTGAACGCGCTTTCTAAAACGTAACCACGTTGACTGCCGTGTCTGCACTTTACATAAACGCTGCGAATCAAGTACCTACGTAACTTCGATTCCGTAACTCGATTTCCTGAGAAATTTCAATAAATTATTTATCAAATTTCAGAAAATGCAAAAGTATAAATATGTTTAAGTTTAAATATGTCACGTGAGCAGAATATACAAAGCCGAAAAAGTGTTTTACATTATTTGCTTGATTTTTCAATATATTTTTTAATGTAATCATTCCCATGAGCTTTCTGATATTCTCACATTATGTCTCAATTTTTATTGTTGTCTTTGATGATTTATAAATAAAGATTGATAATATTCTATACATCCTAGATAAATGCAAAAAGATTTTTTAAATAGTGGAACAATTTATATTAAACATAATATATATAAACAACATTTGTAATTTAATGATTTGATAAAAGAGATGTGTTTTGAATATTTCATATAAATAATAAAGGATTAAATGCGAGAAATTCATGTGTAAATCGAATAATTTCGAAATCCGTGATATTTTAATACAATATTTCAAATCGAGAGTTTTAATTTTTTTCTGTAACGGCGAGTCTTCGAATCCGCGCATTTACCACGTAATCGAAATGCCGAAGCACAAGGCCGGAACAGAAAGGGATAAGAAATCGGATTGTACCCTCCGGCAGAGGGAAGGAGGATTTCACCTTAACCTAATAAATGATTAGTGTGCCGTACGGTGCCGGGAGAGCGGCATAAATGCTCAATCAGTATGCGTGCGCACCGGACAATCCGCTGTAAATCACGTGCCGTGAATCATTCGCCGACATAAATCTAGTCTCGGTCTCTGCTCAATACGCTCCTAACCGGTCCGACACATTAGTTAATCGCGGTACTAGTCGTCGTTTACGGGACACATGGGACACTCGAGGTCCACCTCGCGTGACTTCTTCCCCCACAAAAAGTATCGACAATGTCGATGGCCCTAATAGTGCCGATTCGAAAGAATCCACAATAAAACGATATATCATTGGCGAGACGTATGTCTCTCCGATCATTGATTACTCCGATATTGATTTATCGGATATCGTTGTGATTCAGCTTGGGAATAACGACTATGAGTCCGTTGATAACAATTAATTGAATTAATTGAATTTAAATTTACGTCAGCCATGTGGAGTTTTGCACTTTCGTCAACAATCTACTGGAGTACTATACTTTGAATTTCAATGTAGATTTTTATAATATTCTGAATTGTATAAAACTCTGAAAAATTCTTGCGAAAGCTGTAACAACCAGTTTTTATTATCATATAAAAGTTGGATTGTATTTTAATTATCTTTTACTGATTTAAATTTATCTAACACACTCCTGAAAATATGGGTATGGATTTAACACCATGGATTTTAAATTTGTACTATTAATATTAATTATTGGTGTAATATTATGTTGAAATTAATTCTCACCATGTTAGTATCAACACGATGAGAATTATATAGACACCGTATGGTGTTTTTAAAATAAAGAATTTACAATTAAAATATTGACTTTAAAGTTCAACTTGGACAGCAGAGACTTAACTGGGACATACAAGTTCTGATGATTCTGGAAGTTTTCCTAAAATTTTTAAATAACAATGATTTAGAATTTTATATTTTACCATCTTAATTTTCACAGTTTTAAACTTGAAAAATTGTAAAAAAAAAAAAATAAAACTAATGACAAAAATTTTAATGGATCTCAAGCTCAATGAAATGGTAACGATGAAAAATGGTTGAAACACTTCTGAATTCAGAGTGCATCACGAGCTCGTAAAATTTTCGAATAATTCGCGAAAATCTTCGAAATATTTAGTCGTGTCTTCGACCTCGTCCTTTAAACAAAGCGAACATTGAAGACTCCCGGCGCGACGAGAGTGGATTCGGTGGTGGAAAAGCAACGATCGAACTCGAGGGGAACCCCTTCGGGAGAATCCGCCGTAAGACATATTCCGCGAAAGATCCCGAATGCGAGATGCATTCTTCGTAAGCGGCGCGGCCACAGCAAAGCCGTGGCCATCGAAATTCGGGCAAATAAATCTCGCGCTTCCCTTCTCCCTTTTTCCTCTCCTCTCCTCTCCGCGATCCGGCTGCAGGCGCACGTACGCAACGCACGCACGCACGCACGCACGAGCGGAGAGCGCGCGTGTATACACGTGTACGCGGATGCACGTAGAGACGCATACGCGAGAGAGCACGTGCGTGTTTGCTTCGCCCTTGCGTCTACCTCGAAGCTTCTGAGTCACTCGCTCGCTCGTCACAGGCTACCCGCTGCACTGGTAGCCGCGAAAAACTGCACGCTGCACTTCGGGAATGTCGTCGGCATGTACAGGGTGTTCCCCTTCGCCGCGCCCGTCTTGTCGATTCGCTCAACAAGAACGGTGCGGCGAGCTCGCGGGTTCGCTCGGGTCGGGTCGTCTCTCTCCCGTTGCCTCTTATCCTTTTTTTTTTCTCTGTCGATCGCTTCGTGGAATCACTGATCTTCCTCTTGGCGATGACCGTGCGGTCATCGCGACTCCCGGAGATTTTGCGCGAAATATCAAAGATGTTATCATCTAGCACACCCCTAATCAACGATATAGATATCAGTAGATATCGTAGATTGTATTATTAGTTAGTTTACAACTCGCGAATCTAGCGAGGCTATTTTATTTTTATATAAATAAAATATCTAAAAATTAAAAGGCTTGCTGCAACAATAAACAATAAACTAACCTACAACGTAATCGAATATATGATAGATACTGGTAGAAATGGATGAGTGACAGAGTCCTCTATTTGTTCCAAAAATTGTGCTAATCACTATTATCGCTGTTATGATTTATCATGCAGTGATTTGTATTTTTTCTATCAATTGGTAATATAATATAACTATCGAAGGTAAATAAATGTTAGTCTTCTCATAATATTCTTTATTCATTTTATGCATGCTTGTAATATGACCTTACCTTTATCAAAATAAAAGAAAGTTTTTATAGCATGTGCAAATGTATTTTCCCCATCACTTTAACTTTAAAGTTTATTGTATCTATTTTTACAAAATGTGAATTAAAATCCATATCAAGCCCTTCAATTAAAATTCTGCCCTTCAATTAAAAATATCCTGATTTAGTATCATAAGCTCAACACTAAATCGATTGCAAAATCTATTACGAATGTTTCGACGCACTTTGTAAATTAATTCTTGCACGAAGAGATTTTCTTAATCTCCTTTTGTAGCACGAACAAGTTAGCATACCACTATGATAAATGTATACGGAATCATAGGGACGGAGGAGGATTGAATTTTCTCCTGCTTTATTGTATTCAAGTTAAACGTATGAGAGCATGGTCAGGCAGAAGAAAGGATTCGGGTTGAGGGCAGAGCACGAAGAAAACGGAGAGTTAAGCCCTCGGCGACGGGGGAAGAAGAGGTTCTCTTACAATAGCCGTAAGCTTTGCCGCTCATTAGAGGCGAGGTCGTGGGTCACGTGGAATCGCGGCTTTGTACTCAGTGTTCCTGTATATGTAAGTTACGTACAAACAATATCCACGCACAGAGATCCCTTTTCCCTGGATTGTACCCAGGATCGCTTCACCACGGATTACGGATATGATCTCTGATCTCAGAAATCAACAATGTTTATTCTCCGCCGGTTTTCTTGTGGTCTTTATCGAAATCGTACAGGTATCTAAAAATTAGGTAGGTACAAATCTGAAAATAATTTTGTTGGAAATCCAAATCGTTACGTAGGGAACTTAAACATGATGAGCAATGCTACAAAAAGTTTGAGCATTCTACATAATTATTTTGATAACCTAAAATTATTTTGATGATTCGAAACTATTTTCAGATCTGT